CAATAACATAAACATTGTTGACTTCTCATCAGAAACTCTACAGGCCGGAAGACAAGAGCTAACATCTTTATAGTGATGAAAGAAAAAAAAGTAACCACCTAGAATTCCATATCTTGCAAAAACATCCTTCAAGAATGAAATAAAGATATTTTCATTTATAGAGTCATATCATGTAGATTTAAAAAAGCTAAGATATTTCACTGCCAGAAGACTTATAAGAAATTCTGGCTGGGCACGGTGGCTCACGCCTATAATCCCAGCACTTTGGGAGGCTGAGGTGGGTGCATCACTTGAGGTCAGTAGTTCAAGACCAGCACGGTCAATGTGGTGTAATCCTGTCTCTATTAAAAATACAAAAATTAGGCCGGGCGTGGTGGCTCATGCCTGTAATCCCAGCACTTTGCGAGACTGAGGCGGGCGGATCACGAGGTCAAGAGATTGAGAGCATCCTGGCCAACATTGTGAAACCCTGTCTAAAAATACAAAAACTAGCGGCACGTGGTGGCGTGCACCTGTAGTCCTAGCTACTGGGAGGCTGAGGCAGGTGAATTGCTTAAACCCGGGAGGCGGAGGTTGCAGTGGGCTGAGATTGCCCCACTGCACTCCAGCCTGGTGCCTTTGACAGAGAGAGATTCTGTCTCAAAAAAAACCATAAAACAAACATAAAAATTAGCCACGCATGGTGGCTTGCACCTGCAATCCCAGCTACTCAGGAGGCTGAGACAGGAAGATTGCTTGTACCTGGGAGGTGGAGGTTGCAGTGAGCTGAGGTCTTGCCACTGCACTTCAGCCTGGGTGACAGTGCGAGACTCTGTCTCAAAAAAATAGTAAAAACAGCTGGGCATGGTGGCTCACGCCTGTAATCCCAGCACTTTGGGAAGCCAAGGAGGGCAGATCACGAGGTCAAGAGATTGAGGCCATACTGGCCAACATGGTGAAACACCGTTTGTACTAAAAACACAAAGCTTAACTGGGCATGGTGGTGCACGCCTGTAGTCCCAGCTAACTGGGAGGCTGAGGCAAGAGAATCACTTGAATCCGGGAGGCAGAGGTTGCCATGAGCCGAGATTGCACCACTGCATTCCACGGAGTGAGACTCTGTCTCAAATAAATAAATGCATACATACATACATACATAAAAAGAAACCCTGAAGGAAAATTTCCAGGCTAAAGGGAAATGATACCAGAGAGAAACAAATTTGCAGTAAGAAATAAAGAACATCAGAAATGGTAATAATCTGGGTGAATACAAAAGATAATTTTCTTCTTATTTTTTAAAAAATGCACTGTACTGTAGGGTTTACTACACATATGGAGGGTTTAGTACATATACAGTATAGATAATATATATGACAGCTATAATTTAAAAGATAAGAGTAGAGTGGGGTAGATACACCTACATTGTTTGAAAATGTTGACCATGGTTTATGAAAATTTAAAGTTTAGGTCAGGTACAGTGGCTCACGCCTGTAATCCTAGCACTTTCAGAGACTGAGGCAGGTGGATCACTTGAGTTCAGGAGATCGAGACCAACCTGGCCAACATAATGAAACACCGTCTCTACTAAAAGCACAAAAATTAGCCAGGGGTGGCACGTGCCTCTAATACCACTACCTGGGAGGCTGAGACAGGAGAATTACTTGAACCCAGAAGGTGGAAGTCACAGCAAGCCAAGGTGGTGCCACTGCACTCCAACCTGGGCAGCAGACTGAGACTGTCTCAAAAATAAAATAAATAAAGTCATTTATTATAATCTTCAGAGCACCACTGAAAATATGATGCAAAGGGTATAACTAGAAAGTCAACAGGCAAATTAATATTAAATTCTAAAACCTATTCAAATAATCCTAGAGAAGTCAGTAAAGGAAGAATAAGCAAACAAAGAAGATAAGGGGCATATAGAAAACAAATAGCAAAACAGTAAAGCTCAAACTAACTGTCATTACATTAAGCGTAAAGGGTCTAAATATCCCAAGTAAAAAACAGAGATTGTTAGATAGGATTTAAAAGGAAAACCTAACCTCATGATGCCTATAAGATAGGCACTTTATAAGACATAGGTTGAAAGAAAATGGATAGAAAATATATGCCATGTGAAAAGAAGGCTTTGGAAGACTGGACTGGCTACATCTATCAGAAGAAATAGAGTTCAAACAAAGACTTTTACCAGAGATAAAGAAAAATATTTCCTAATGATAAAATGATCAGTTCATCAGGAAATAATAATCATAAAGACATAGGTGTCTAATAATGAAACATGTTCAAAATATATAAAGCAAAAATTGATTAAAAGAACCAAAAGACCACTGGAGGGGGAGATTAAAAAAAAAAAAAAAAAAAAAAACTTATAGTAATGGACTGACCAACTAGGCCCCCACCAAAAAAAAGAAAAAGAAAAAAATTACTGTAGACATAGATCCTACTTTATGAGTTGGTTAAGTTGCTGACTGGGAAGCTCTGCATGAGATGAGCTCTTGTAGGAGGGACACTCCATTCTTTGTAACCCTACTAACAAAGGAAAAGTAATAATGTTTTAAAAATGAGTAAATATATCATACCACTGCACTCCAGCCTGGGTGACAGAGCAAGACTCTAGCTCAGAGAAAAAAAAAAGAGCAGATCTGAATATTTCCATTCCTATTTGTGTGTGTGTGTGTGTGTGTGTGTGTGTGTGTGTGTGTATGTATGTGTGTGACCAAATTTTGTTCTTATTGCCCAGGCTGGAGTCCAATGGCACAATCTTGGCTCACTGCAAGCTTCACTTCCTTGGGTTCAAGTGATTCTCCCACCTCAGCCTCCAGAGTAGCTGAGATTACAGGCGCCTACCACCATGCCTAGCTAATTTTGTATTTTTAGTAGAGATGGGGTTTCACCATGTTGGCCAGGCTGGTCTCACACTTCTGACCTCAGGCGATCTGCCCACCTCGACCTCCCAAATTGCTGGGATTACGGGTGTAAGCCACCGCATTCAGCCCATAATATAATTTCTTTAGGCTTCGAAAAGCATCTAAGCAACGTTTTCTTTTTTCTCTTTCTTTCTTTCTCTCTCTCTCTCCCTTTCTTTTTTTTTCTTTCTTTCATTTCATTTTCTTTCTTTCTTTTCTTTTTTTTTTTTTCGAGATGGAGTCTTGTTGCCCAGGCTGGAGTGCAGTGGTGCAATCTTGGCTCACTGCAACCTCTGCCTTCTTGGTTCAAGCGATTCTCCTGCCTCAGCCTCCCAAGTAGTTGGGGTTATAGGCATGCCCCACCACACCTGGCTATTTCCTTCCTTCCTTCCTTCCTTCCTTCCTTCCTTCCTTCCTTCCTTCCTTCCTTCCTTCCTTCTTTCCTTCCTTCCTTTCTTTCTTTCTCTCTCTCTTTCTTTCCTCTTTCTTTTTTTGTGAAAACAAGTTTATTAAGAAAGTAGAAGAATAAAGAATGGCTACTTTATAGACAGACCAGCCCAAAGGGCCACTGGTGAAGCACAATTTTCTAGACCTGTCCTGTACAGATTTCCCTCCCTTTCCATTTTCTTTACATAACATCAAAAATCATTTACGTTTCATTCTGCATTGGTTCTTCATAACACATGTGCTGTAGATCTTAATAGCAGATGGCTTGTTTATTGTGGTGGTGTACTTCGAATGGGCTGAAATGATGGCATAAATAGGCTAATTTGCTTTTATGTTTTTTCTTTTTTCTTCAAAAGGCATAATGAAACAAGACAGAAAAAAAATTTTTGACAGATGAAATTGATAATGTTTAGACCACGAGCCTGCCTGGTCTTTGAAAAAAAAAAAAAAAATCAGAGAGTTTCTCACTTTCCTTCCAAGTCCTCCTGCTTCTGCTAATAGGCACAGTCTCTGACTCCTTTTATGAAGAACAGATTAAAGCGCAGATTTAGCCCAAGCTGTTTCTGCTAGGAGAGCTGCTTCTTCCTAGGAAGTGTGCTATAGAACTGGGCAGTCTGCTCTCCATTCTCCCAGCCTTGGTATTTTCTGGCTGGGAGCTTTGGATATGACAGCTAACCTATTCAGCTTATTATTTCCTTTCTAATAGAGGCATAACAAGGAAAAGGCTGTCCCTCCTATTTCAAGGGATTGCTGCAAACACTACATTAGATTTCTGCTGAACCATTTGTAAAAGTGTGAGGCATAATACAAATATCAGATATCAGCACAAGTTTTCTATTTCATTAGGCCTATTTCATTAGAAAAGGTGAAAGCTCTACTATCACTCTCTTAATTATTTTAGCTCCTTTTGGCTTCACCTCCTCTTTCATTTCTAGTGTCTACTTTGTGTAATTAGGCCTCATGGCTTGGGTGTGTTTGTGAAAAAGAATCTTTTTTTTTTTTTTTGAGATGGAGTCTCACTCTGTCACCCACGCTGGGGTGCAGTTGCGCGATCTCAGCTCACCACAACCTCTGCCTCCCGGGTTCGAGAGATTCTCCTGCCTCAGCCTCCCAAGTAGCTGGGACTACAGGTGTGCACCAGCACGCCTGGCTAATTTTTTGTATTTTTAGTAGAGACAGGGTTTCACTGTGTTAGCCAGGATTGTCTCAATCTCCTGACCTCGTGATCTGCCCTCCTCGGCCTCCCAAAGTGCTGGGATTGCAGGGGTGAGCCATCGCGCCCAGCATGAAAAAGAATGTTTAAACGTCTTCTATTTCCTATGAGAGCATTCCCTACCCTTTGTCTAAGTGTAATTTCTAATTATATAACCTGCAGCATATTCTCCGATCTCATAAAGTGGCATTCCTCTGATTCTGATTAGACGTATGGCCCTGATATCATAGTGCAAGACATCCCTCCCTCCTGTAAGTATTCCGAAGTATGATTCACCCTAGGTTTTCATTTCCTTCCTTGCCCTAGAAGACAAACTTGGACTCATGTATTTGCCCACTTTATTCTACTCCTCTATCTTCTACTCCAGCAAACAGACTCATTCCTTCATTCTTCCCAACACTTAAGTATGCTTCACAATGCACAAAGCTGTACCTGATTTTATATATCTATTTTAATGATAGGCAGGTAATATGCCAATATTATAACAAGGTTTGAAGGAGGCATGTCTCACATAGAAATGTGAAAACCCAATCGTCATACTTACAAAGGACAAAGGGCTCTAATATACATGTTTTAGATACTAAAAAGAAGATATAATGAAAGAACTTTTAGGATAATATTGATTGCAAGGCCGGGCGTGGTGGCTCATGCCTGTAATCCCAACACTTTGGGAGACTGAGGCAGGCGGATTGCCTGAGGTCAGGAGTTTAAGACCAACCTGGCAAAAACATGGTGAAACTCTGTCTCTATTAAAATACAAAAAATTAGCCAGGCATGGTAGCACATGCCTGTAGTCCCAGCTACTCAGGAAGGCTGAAGCAGGAAAATTGTTTGAACCTGGGAGGTGGAGGTTGCGGTGAGCCGAGATAGCGCCCCTGCACTCCAGCCTGGGTGACAGAGCAAGACTCTGTTTCCAAAAAAAAAAAAAACATCGATTGCAAAGTGTATTCAAGTGTTGGGTTAGGTAAGAATAAACAAAATTTTCCCCTAAATCTTGGCTTTGTGTAGAGCTTTACTATAGACTGCATCCTGTACATAACAGAAAACAAATTGTATTTTTCCAATAATACCTGAATCATCATTAGTCCAGAAGGTTCTTGGATCGGGCTTGGTCAGGATGTTGGCAGGATTACATGGCTCTCTCACCTTTAAAACATAAAGAGAAAAGAAGTAATATAAAAATGGCTTCATCATGTCAGCTATTTTAGGCTTATACTTCTAAAGAAAGGATTCCAAGGCTGAAGCTAGTACATATGGCATGTCTGTGCTCTGATTAGGTTGGCTTTCCCAGGACTGTGCTGGTTATAGCATTGAAAGTCCCATATCCCAGGAAGCCTTTTAGTCTCAGGCAAACCGGGACAGTTGGCCACATTACACATGATGCAGTTTCACTGAGCTGATGGCTGGGTTAGCACATGAGGGCTGGAGCTCACTCAGCGCTATGTGCAGTGCACAAACTGCGCAGCTGTGTGAAGAGGCCCCGGATTATTAGCAAACTTATCAGTGTAAAGACACTCCTACATAAAAAGTGTTTGAATCTCCATGTAACAGAAATGATACTTTTAGTATATATTGCTTAGAAAAATATATATTAATTAAAAGCTACTTTTAATTTAGTAGCACTTTAAATGCATTCTTTTTTTTTTTTTTTTTTTTTGAGACAGAGTCTTTGTTGCCCAGGCTGGAGTGCAGTGGCACGATCTTGGCTCACTGCAACCTCTGCCTGCCAGGTTCAAGCGATTTTCCTGCCTCAGCCTCCTGAGTAGCAGGGATTGCAGGTGCACACCACCACGCCTGACTAATTTTTATATTTCTAGCAGAAACAGCGTTTCACCATGTTGGCCAAGCTGGCTTTGAACTCCCTGACCTCAGGAGATCTGCCCCCCTTCAGCCTCCCAAAGTGCTGGGATTACAGGCATAGGCCACCTCACCCAGCCTGCATTCTTATTTTATAATCATAATAGAATCTTTATATTTTCAAACAGCGGCACATGTACATATGGAACATGTATTATTTAGTCAACGTAGAGGCTCTTAGTGCAGATACCATTTTTTAAAAAAGATAAGTAATATTGAGCATTTTTCTGTCAGGTATTTTTTCATTTTTAAAGACATTTCTTTTTTTTTTTTTTTTTTGGCACTACCTACCTGCCTATAAAAAAATTCAATAGGCTTTTGGGGGACAGGTGGTGTCTGGTTACATAGATAAGTTCTTTATTGGTAATTTCTGAGATTTTGGTGCACCCAACACCCAAGCTTGGTGGATCTACTTTTAGTTCTTTAAGGAATCCCCACACTGTTTTCCGTAGTAGTAGTCGATCCAACGTGTGTGGTCTTTTATCCCTTTCCCCCCTCGCTTTTCCCCCTGAGTCCCCAGAGTCCACTGTATCATCTTTATGCCTTTGCGTCCTCATGGCTTAGCTCCCACTTATGAGTGAGAACATATGGTATTTGGTTTTCCATTCCTGAGTTGCTTCACTTAGAATAATAATGGTCTCCGATTCCAGCCAGGTTGCTGCAAATGCCATTATTTTGTTCATTTTTATGGCCGAGTAGTATTCCACAGAATATATATATAGCTCCATTACACTCCAGTAAAATGAAGCTAGTACATACGGCATGTCTGTGCTCTAATTAGGATGGTTTTCCCAGGACCGTGCCAGCTGTAGCATTGAAAGTCCCATATCCTGGGAAGCCTTTTAGTCCTGGGCAAACCGGGACAATTGGCCACCTTACACATGATGCAGTTTCACTGGGCTATGATATAGATAAATATATATATATATATATATATATGTAACATTTTCTTTGTTCACTGATTGATTGATGGGCATTTGGGCTGGTTCCATATTTTTGCAGTTTCGAATTGAGCTGCTATAAACATGCATATGCATGTGTCTTTTTCGTATGACTTCTTTTCCTCTGGGTAGATACACAGTAGTGGAATTGCTGGGTTAAATGGTAGATCTACTTTTAGTTGTTTAAGGAATCTCCATACTGTTTTCCATAGTGGTTGTACTGAGATGCAATTAATTGATTTCATATAATAGTTTCCACAGAGCAGCAGTGATCCATGTTTTTTTTTAACAACTTTATTCTACTGTGATATTAGATTTCAAATATATTCTAATAAAATAAAATATAGATCTTAGTGTTAAAACTGCTTTTCCAGCCAGACTTGGTGGCTCCCGCCTGTAATCTCAGCACTTTGGGAGGCTGAGGCAGGCGGATCACCTGAGGTCAGGAGTTCAAGGCCAGCCTGGCCAACATGGTGAAATGCTGTCTCTACTAAGAATACAAAAATTAGCTGGGCATGGTGGCACGTGCCTGTAACCCCAGCTATTCAGGAGGCTGAGACAGGAGAATCGCTTGAACCCGGGAGGCGGAGGTTGCAGTAAGTAGAGATTATGCCATTGTACTCCAGCCTGGGTGACCGAGGGAGATTCTGTCTCAAAAAAAAAAAAAAAAAAAAAAAGTTAAATGGATAGATCTCACAAAATCTAGAAGAGATTGCCATCCTATGTTTGTCAGAATATCAGAAAGGAACAGAAGATATTTGATACATAAATATCTAAGTGGTCTACATTTTACAAGTGGATTTTTTTGGTAATTGTAATACATTTTTCATTTATAGGAAACATGATTGTAGATGTAAAACTGAAGAAAAAAAGTTACTAAACCTTAAATCTCTTGAACTTGACAGCATGGTAGAATATGGCAAAAAATATATATATAAATAAATTTAAAAAATAAAATTTAAATCTTAAGAAAAAAGGAAAGGCCTTTGCCTCTTTGCCTCATTGAAATCCTGAAAGCAAGATGCATGAATAGCAGCTCTAGGGGAGCCATTCATGAAAATTTGGCCAGGGTTCTCACTCTTGCTGCTTCTGCTCCAACCAGCATGGTCTGATCCAGAATCTGTGCAAGGAATTTTTCCATTAGTGGTCAGCTAGAGGTGGACTTCATTACGTTGGGCTAAGTGATCTTCCTTGAAAAGATTACCAAAGTCATCCACCCAATGAAAGAAACTGTGCTAGCTCTTTGTGCATAAAAGAAATTAAAAAGAAAAGAAGGTACTGTATACCCAAAGGATTATAAATCATTCTACTATTAAGATACATGCATACTTATGTTTATTGCAGCACTGTTCACAGTAGCAAAGACTTGGAACCAACCCAAATGCCTATCAATGATAAAGAAAATGTGGCACATATATGCCATGGAATACTATGCAGCCATAAAAAAAGGATGAGTTCATGTCCTTTGCAGGGACATGGATGAAGCTGGAAACCATCATTCTCAGCAAACTAACACAGGAATGAAAAACCAAACACCACATATTCTCACTCAGAAGAGGGAGTTGAACAATAAGAATGCATGGACACAGGGAGGGGAACATCACACACCAGGGACTGTTGAGGAATGGGGGCTCAGGGAGGAATAGAATTAGGAGAAATACCTAATGTAGATAATGGGTTAATGGGTGCAGCAAACTATCATGGCACGTGCATGCTGTGTAATAAACCTGCACGTTCTGCATGTGTATCCCAGAACTTAAAGTGTAATGAAAATAATAATAAGAAAAGAAAGAAGAAAAATGATGTGTGGTGCAGCAACATTTCATGGACGACATTTCTGAGCAGCACTGTAAAATGTCCCTCCTACCTGACTAAGCAACTCAGTAAGAATCCCGTCCCGGATACTCCACTCAAGTACTACTTCAACTGTTAGAAAGCTCTTCACAGGTTGAATTGAAATCTGGGTCCTTGAAACTTTGGTTCCTGGTTCTAACTCACTCTTAAATTACAAAGAACAGGTCTAGTCTCTCTTCTATAAAATAGTACCTCAAATATTTGAAAGTAGCTATTATGTTTCACCTTAGCTTTTCATTTCTGAGTTAACAAGCCCTCTTCCCTGTCACTGCTCCCAATGAGATGATTTGAAGTCTTTTTTATTGAGGTCACTCTGCCCCAGAATATATCCTTTTCGGCAAGTGAACTGATCCTCTAGGGGCTCCCAAGCCAGGTCCAGATAATAGTTACCAAACTAAGGAGCTAGTTTTGAGGGACAGCTTTCAGGGAGGACAGCCAGCATTATTTCCACATGTGAGTAATTAAAATGTTCCCAAGCACCTATAAATCTAACATACCATGAGAGTAAAGAATGCTTTATGACTTAGCCACTTTTTAATAGTTTTTAACGCCAAAAAGTTTTAATTTATTTTCTACAGTAACTATATACTTATTTGGAAAAATTGCCATATGTGGGTTTTTTTCTGCATTAAGCTCCAATTGCCTTGTTTCCTTGAGGCTTTTTTTTGAGACAGAATCTCGCTCTGTTGCCCAGACTGGAGTGCAGCGCTGCGATCTAGGCTCACTGCAACCTCTGCCTCCCCGGTTCAAGTGATTCTCCTGCCTCAGGCTCCTGGGTGGCTGGATGTCCAGCTAATTTTTGTATTTTTAGTAGAGACAGGGTTTTACCATGTTGGTCAGGCTGGTCTCAAACTCCTGACCTCATGATCCACCCACCTCAGCCTACCAAAGTGCTGGGATTACAGGC